GTCCCAGCTCATCTCCCACTCATCTAACAGATTGAGATCCTGTTGTAGCTAGTCCTGGTCAGATCTGTTGGCGATCGTCCTATACACCGCTGTGTCATCTGCGAACAGTCTTGCTTGGGATGTCAGTTTCTCGAGTAGGTCATTAATGTATGCTAGGAACAAACAGGGGCCTCGCACTGATCCCTGGGGGGCCCCTGACTTCACATCGACAAAGGAGGAGCTTGTTTCTCATCTTTTACTTTTATTATTTTATTTTCACTTGTTTAATTTTATTTTAGCCCATTAAGTGATTTGAGCTATATCATGTCCTGTTTACTGCATACCTCAATCATTTTCTGTCATCACAACGTCATAAAATAAAAGTCAAAAACTCTCTCATATGACGAACTTTGATGACAACCGTGCTATTTTGGCTGGTTTGTTATATTTCCCATGTTTTACCCCCTGTTATTTCTATGAGCATAGTCTAAATTAAAAGCGATACCGGTTATGTACAGTTTAGGAAATATTTTTTTTCCACCGTCAGATCCATCGAATTATTAAATTGACGACATGAAAAAAATGAGTGTCTGTAAAAAAAAAAAACCTTTGTTTTTTATTCCACAGGAACCGAAAATGCCGCTCAAAGTAAAATATTTACCACACAACAATTTTGGGCCCCATATATATATCTGAGCCCCCCCCCCTTTTTTTTTGTGTGCACCCACACGGGTTGCAGGGACCACGTGACGGCTCTGAATGCAGTGAAGCCAACAGGTGCATTTTAACAGTTTCCCACGGTTTTCCAGAACTTTAATGAAATAATTGCCTGCTAGTTACTAAGACTTTTTTTTTTTTAAATCGTTGATTAAAACTATTTCCAGAAAAACTGTAAATGTCACAAGCACAGCCTGCAGCTTAAGTTTGTCTTTTTTTTAAAAATAAAACAACAACCCAACGTACCTTGACTTGTAAAGCACTTAATCGACAAACATAATGGCCACCTGCAAGTAAGCTCCAGTAGAAGACGGAGAAACGACAAAAATCTATTTTAAAGACTTAAAAAATGAAAAAAATAATGATCAGTAAAATTATTTTCGGTACTAAAATTAGCTTACTGATAAGAATAAGTATCCGGTCCCCGGTGTAGCAGGCCAAGCGTATATCACTGTCCAGATTAAGCGTGGGGGGTGGTCTGGCCTAGGCCAGAGTATATCACTGTCCAGATTAAGCGTGGGGGGGGGGTCTGGCCTAGACTAGAGTATACCACTGTCAAATTAAGCTTGGGGGATGGTCTGGCCTAGGCAAGGGTATACCAGTGTCCAGTTTAAGAGTGGGGGATGGTCTGGCCTAGGCAATAGTATACCACTGCCCAGATAAAGCGTGGGGGGATGGTTTGGCCTAGGCAATAGTATACCACTGTCCAGATAAAGCGTGGAGGGGGGGGGTGGTCTGGCCTAGGCACGAGCAAACCCCGAGAGAAGACAGTTATGGCAGTTATTGAACAAGAAGAAAATGCTGCTATTTGAAAAGCACTGAGTGGTTAGACTAGACAAGGATGTCAGCCAGGTCCATCATAGTATTAATATGGCAATGATAAAATCAGTTGCTATGCGGCATAGCGAAAATAGAACATTTTTTACATGCAAACATACTGATGATATCTTAGTTAGTGTCTCTCTAATGATGGCACGCGGTTGGGACCCTGTCTATAACAATATCTGGTTGATTGCTCAAAGGTGGTGCGAGTTGAGGGGGGAAATGGTGCACTGTAACTAGTATAGGCTAACCAGTTGGTACATACACTTCTAAAAATGTCAAAATGATAAAAAAACAATTAAAAAAAATAATAAACTTGTAAGAAATCCTAAAAAAATAAAAATCCCAGGAGTATCAAATTTGGTTTTGCTTGATTGGCATCAAACCGATGTGGGGAATGGATAGATGTTTGTAAAATTTTATATTGCATGAATGAAATTAATATTTAATTTTAATACCCAGTAATTCAAAGGGGGGGGGGGGGAAGGGGGCTTAAGGGGGAGGGGGGGGCTTTTGATTTTAAAACAAAAAAAAAAAACAAACAGGGGGGGGAAGGGGGCTTAAGGGGGAGAGGGGGGCTTTTGATTTTAAAACAAAAAAAAACAACAAACCTAGAGATATAAATCAATTACAACACAAAATTTGTTTTGATCATCAACCTTTATAAGTTAGTGGAAGGTATGTAATCAATTATCTTTACATGTGAACACATAATAGCTGTTAAAAAAAACAACATTTTATTAAATCATTGATTTCATGCCACCTCAACAAGCAACTAAACATCACCTTGTTTTTTGTGCCACATATTTTCTTGCCAGATTTCTGGATCGCGCCCTGCCGGTTACCAAATGAGAAATAATGTTCTTCTCATAATACGTCAGAAGGTTGTTAAAAAGAGCAATGAAACAAAATATTTGAGCAACATTGGGAGAAAAAGAAAAAAAATTGTAAAAAAAAAAAAAAATATAGAATAAATGATGGATTAATTTAAATTTATTTAAAAAATATTTTTTAAAAACCTGTACATCACATGACAGCATTTGCAACAATACTGAGTATAAGGTTTGTGTGACAAAATAAAACAAATAAAATGAAACTGTACAAACAGCTAATTGTTTTATTAGTTTGTAAATATGCATAAAAAAAACCAATGTGTATTTAGTTGGGTAAATTTGTAAAAATACTGTACAAAAGTCATTTCAATTAGTTCATGTGTAACACTCACGAGCACAGAAAGCAATTGGATAAAACTAAATATTGTTTTTTTTAAAACTTCAATATTTCTTCTATTGAAAGTCCTGTAGTACCATTGTGAATATGTCTCTAGTTAATACAGCAACCTAATCCACAAGTTTGCAAATCGTTGTGTAAATGTAATGAATAAGAAACCAACTGAATTTTTCATTTATAAAATTTTAAGATTTATTACCAAAACCGTAAGTAAACCATGATTACCACTTATAATTCCAGAGAGGATGTTGTCTGCTCGCTCAAGAGAGGTAATACAGATTAGATTAACTCCTTTTAAATAACTACCCCAAACTAAAACTTCTTCAGTAAAAAAAATGACATTTCAATTTTTATAAAGCATTTATCCTTTATTTTGCCTAGTGATACGGGGAGTAAGGGGGGGGGGGGGGGGGGGGGGGGGGGGGGGGGGGGGGGGGGGTTGAGGGGGGTGGTGGTTTCAGATGGCACTTCATATATCCAACAATGTCTAGGAGAGCAATCACAACTTGTCACAAGGCAAGGTGGGTAACGTATGTGTTCTTATGTGCTTTTGGTGCATACATCACCAAGTGCACTAAATATTTAATACCTAGTAATTCAAATGCAACTCAAGTATGGTTGCGAGGCCCCAGCTGGTGATCAAAATAATGAAAGAAACAAGATGTCACATTAACAAAATTACCACATACAGCTAACAGCTCTCTTGGTCACCACTGCACTGCAGACTTGACGTCAATTGAATAGAAGTGTTTACTTTTGTTTGTATAAATGAGTCAGTTAAATAAACAACTATTTACAGCTATGTATAATGCCCCCTTTTTTTTGTGTGCATAAAGTATAGATGTAGCCAAACAGTAACATGCTATAACAATAATTGTGATGAAAAAATATCCATGAATGTTTTTACATGTCAATAAAGCCATGTGGTACAAATAAATATTTACTCTTTTCTTTGAAATAGACAAACTTGAATATTATTATTTTTTTAAAAGTATGATTCTCGCATCATTTTGAATATTTCCATCAAGTTATTATAAATTATATATGATAAGTTTCTTTTATTGAACATAACATGTGAAAATATGTTATAATTTCCTAAACTTTTCTATATCCCGCACCTCCTGAAAAATTTACAATGTATTTTTAATTGATGAAAAAAAAAAGACTGCCTTTTTTATTTTCAAAGAGAAGAGCATGACTTAGAAAATAAACTTGTGACTTATTGCATAAAGTAAAATCTAACTGAAGACATTAAAAAAAAAGCATAAGCTTGACCTAAAAGTCAGTGGCTACAATGTTCTTATCATTACTGTTCTTCGCCTCCCCTAAAATTCTAATTTCCTCAGGGTCCTTGGTTGGGAGACCATGCTAAGTTGGCTGTGAAATCTTAGATTGATTAGACACGAACAATTTGTGTCATAATGATTTTACATAATACACAAGTAGACGTTTCGACACATTCCTTCATCAGAATAACAACAAAACACTTAAATAAGTATAAAGTAATTTTACATAGTATATAAAGTCATAAAGACATGTCTTTTTCTGTTGTTTTTTTTACATCATTTACTTTCCATTCTTCTTTACTTTGTGTCTGTCTTGTTTTTTGCACCCACTCCTTATTTTCTCTCCTTTTTTAGGTAGGATATATGCATTTATGTACTATGTAAAATTACTTTACACTTATTTAAATGTTTTGTGTGTGTACTGATGAAGGCATGTGCCAAAGCGTCTATTTGTGCATTATGTAAAATTCTTATTAAAGCTTAACATACATTGTTATATTGGCACAAATTGTTCGTGTCTAATTAATATATTTTAAAGCTTTATCGCAGTCCAACACTTTTATAACATGCAAAATCTTAAACCACCATTTCCATACCTATGTGTCTCATGAATGCTTGAAATTTTTCTGAAACATTCTAAATTACAAGGTTAAGTTCTGGTACAAGTATACAAATTCTGCTACAACAGCACTCATCCTTCCTTCTTAAACTTAAAATATTCAAGTTCACATTAAAAAAAAGAAATGTAAAGTTTTCCAAGTTATAATTTAAGCAGCGTTTCAGAAAATCTTTCTGGTACAAGAACAAAACAAGGTAAGAAAATGCAGTTAGCATGCAGCACCTTTTTACATTACTTTTGAGTACCCCAGTGCTATATGCATAACATTTTAAAGTTGTAAGCAAAGCTCAACTGTAATAAGCTTAAGCTGACCAAATGTAATTTCTGATTACTTACAAAGAAACATAATCTCCCCATTACAGAAGACACTTGAGCTCTTGGCTTAAACCAATGGTGAGATTAAAAAAAATGGTTTCACAGATAGGTCTCATTCATCCAGGTCATTGAACCTATTCAATGATACATATTTCAAAAGCTTCTCAGTCCAAATTCTGCTCCTTTGTGCCCACCCAAGTCTGCCACCCAGCAAGTTAGTATCATAATGGGCATTTTCAACATGGGCACTCCTGTAGATGTGGGAAATGCTGGTGAGAATATTGGACTCAATGACTTGGTGGAATTGTTTCGGTGTGTATCCGTCTCTAACAGAACGGCAGATTGTCACAAGGTCAGGCTTTTTGAAGACAGCTGTTATAATCTTGCGCAAGCTCACAGTCTGAGTTGTGATTTCAACCTCTGAAGGAAGGTGGAAGGACACTTTCGTTCTAGCTGGAGTATTTTCTCCCATACAAACATGCAGAAGGCCCCCTTGAGCGAAATAGCGTGAGGATGGCGATACCTTAAAACAAATGCCAAGGTCAGAAAGGAGCCTAAGCTCTTTCATGGAAAAGTTAAGGAGAAGCTGCATCATGCTCTGCAGGTATAATCCTTGTAGTTTTTCCTCCTCGTGACACAGGAGAATCTCATGTCCTTCTTTCTTCAGGTAGCCTAACAGAGTAGGTATATTTTCTATAATGTAATTACTTACTTCCAAGCTGGTCTTGCAGTGCTTGTTCTGATCCCTTAATTGCTGACCTATGACCTCACAGCTTTCAGACTTAAGGTTGATGACCATGTTGACGAGAGCAGTATAGAACATGTCCGCAACTACCTCTTCCCTGGCAGTGTCTGCACACAATACATCAGCAATGAGGTCCGACAGGAGCTCGACACTCTTTTCCGCCATTCCTGATTTTTGCAGCGGAATCATATCACTCCAGCACCCATAGAAGTCTTCGTCTATGTCTAATATCACACCAGCTGAACTAGAGGCAGGGTAAATTTTGGGAAGCTCAACCGTTGCTACGGCTTCACTCATCACTTCCAAGACTGCAGTGGCGTGAATCATGCAGTCCAGTTTTGATATCTGTGGGCCTTTTTCAGCTTCGACCTCCGAGAAGTTCCTCCTGTGACATTCCCACAGGCTGTCTTGTGGTGTTTTCTCTCTATTGCTTTCTTCCAACTCTCGAATCTTCCAGCAGGAACACAGATCATTTTTATAACCTGTCATCTCAGTGTCCACTTTGACTTTTGTGTAGCCCATCTGTACATCAATGATGACATGACTCCAGTCAGAGTCATGGTTTTGGCGGTCCCACTGAGGCCACACCCAGATCACATGATCCACAAAACCAGTCAGGACTGCAGCCTATAACAAAGTGAGAGGAATGCATTATTTTTAAATTTTTGGTAAAACTTCATCTAGTGATAACATGGTTGAGATGTCTAGGACCTAAATTTAAGGGTACCAATGCTTTATTTACTGCCCCTAATTAAATAAATGAACAGATGTTTGGGTGTGGATCTTTTGATTATTAATTAATTGTCCTGCATTGTTGACCCCATTTATAGATCTGGCACTAAATATAGCTTACAGCAGAGCTTTGAAATGAACAAAAGAAACTGAAGATATGTTAAAATTGAGTCTATGAATTATAAACATGAGGCAACCAGCTGGCAAGCTTTAGGAGATAAATTAAAATTTTCAAAAAGTTTCACTTGTATTTGGAAGAGTTGATTTATGTTCTGACATATCCAGAAAATGGAGAGATTTCCTTTTCTATAGTGTTTAAATGTGAGGTGAATACACTTTTAATAATCAACCTATTAGCACAGGTCATCAGGCTCTACAAAAGGGTTGAACATTCCCTGAATGAATGATTTAACTGATATTCAGCCACCATTAGTGTTGTGTTATAGCCTGTATGTTGACTTAGTTTTTATTCACAAGCTGTGGCCTTCAACCGTACCTTCCCTCCCACTTTTATTTTTTGATACTGACGTAATCAGATTGAATGTTTAGCTACAATACTATTTACCCATCCCCTGCCTTGATTGGGGAAAGCTTCTTTACATTCTAATTTGTTCTATAAAATGCTATAAGGTAATGCAATTGCTAGATAATTTTCTTTTCTGGAGGGTTACAACTTTCTCCCTAAAAATAAGGTGGGAGAGATTTTTGCTACTTTTCTTAGAAATTTATAAGACGTAACTTTTATATTTACAAAAGACTTACAAGATTTTAATTTTTGTGGGGGGTGTGAGTATATTTTTATATTTTAAGGATTTTATTTTTTCAAAAGCGGTGCTGTAAGTTCATAAAGCTTTCATTTCTGTTTTTTAATTTTGTATTTTTTATATAAATTGATAGTATAATTACACTAAATATTGTTAGTATCACTAGCTTTGGTATTCTCTTTGTATACTGTTTTTATCAGTTTATCAATACGTATTGTTCATTTAATGAGCTAAATCTTAAAACAAATTAAATATACAAAACCATATAACAGTACTTAAGTTGGCATAATTAATTATCCTGGATGATGTGAAAAACTATCCAAAAAATATTTTGCAGTAATTATTTCAAGGATAAATTATAAAATTCCAGTAACTGATTTTACAGCCATTAATAACTAAAAGAATTCCATTATAAAAATATAATTTTATGTTGTGAAGGAGCAAAGTCTCAAATAACCAACCACTATGAACATGTCATTTCTCTGCATCATGTTGTAGATTTCTTGTCTACTGTTGGGGTAATGAAACCATGGGATATTTTCTGTATCATACGGCACTGCTCCATCCACATGACCATCTACATGAATCTGTAATTTAGTGTAATATGTAGTAATATTTTTAAGAATTAGTTTAATTTTTCATTACACTATATAAATTGATATTACATCAGTATACATGTTATCCTGCAAGAACCTGTTCAAAATGAAAAAAAAATATTTTTTTTTTACATAACCATGTACAGCAGTACAAATCAGAAGACATAAAAAAACCTGTCACAAGTATGGGTAAACCTTATCCCTCTCAATGTTTGCAAAACAGTTATATATTTTATCTTCAAATCATATCTAAAAACTTGAAAATAAATACAACAAAATTTAAATGTTAATTTAAGGTAAATAAACTGATAAAATTAAGGTATGGTTATCATTACCAAAACATTCCTTGACTTTGAAATAAGGCCGAGGTCGGCTGCTTGGAACCAGTACTTCAAAACTTGGAAAAAACAATTAAGAAATAAGTGAAGTGAATAGTAAAAGAGAAGAATATATTAATTAAACAATTTTCTTGGTAACATTTTTTTTTTTTTTTAATCTTTAACTATGAGCAAAGGCTTACATTTGAATTATTATAACCATGTTGCGCTTGAAATATGTGCCAAATATCAAATACAATAATTTGAATCTCAATGAAATGACTAGAGCCATAATAATAGCATACAATGTTTGATTTCTGAACAATTTATAAATATAAAAGAATTTTTAGAAAAATACAGATACTCATAATTTAAATTTTTGTTAAAAAGATAAAAAGGAAAGGCTTTTTCATTATTAAAAATATATAGTTAAATATACAGCAGCTAAGGGATGTAGATTTTTTTAAGGAAATACAGTTATAAACAATGGCTTTTATTGGCCTTTACAGAAATAAACAGGTAACAGGTACTTTAAAACTGGACTTGAATTTTATAACTGGAATGGGCATTAATGTTTTTAAATTACTTGGATTTTTAAAAAGACAATGTCTAATTGTCCGGCGACCAGACAAATATTGCAGGAGATATTCTTCCGGCGGGGATGTCACGTGACCATGGGACAACTAGTATGTGTTATTATTCCGGCACATATGTCATGTGACAAGAGATCACCGGCAAAATTTTTTTTAAAAATCCATTATCTTGGTTTAAATATCTTATAAAGCTCTGCCTAGTAGCCTATATTTAAAATATGAACTAAAGTAAATAAGACCAATACTTGCCAGTTTACTGAGAATAGACCTATTGTCAAAAAAGTTTTATTTTAGGCTATTAATATTGCGTGAGAAGTAGGGTACCCCAAAAGCACACTATATTGGTCCCATGTTAAGATGTAGGGCCTATTTCTTTGTTAAATCTCAACCTCCCCACCATAATTATTTATCACCCTCTATATCATTTTTATCCTTTCTCTCTCGATATCAGTTCAGTATTTCTTCCTTCTAGTATACATTGCTTGCCCACTCTCTTATTTCTTGAAATTAAGTGTATACTTGTCGCCATCCATGCATCTCTTATGCCAGTTTTATGATCGACATTAGCGGTCACATAACAAGGCTGACGGACAGATATCTTTAAAAAGATTTTAAACCATTTTAAAATAATGAATTTTAAGCCATTTTCATTGTTTCTATAGAATAGTAGTTACTATCCTAGTGTCTCATTTGTATTTACTTAGTTTACTTGTTTTAATAATTGTAAAGCGCTTAGAGCTTTATGATAAGCGCTATATAAAAATGCCTAAATAAATAAATAAATAAATATCTCGGCCAACTTTTTTACGGCGGTTGACGAATATCTCGAGAATTATTCGTCCGGTCGCCGGACATACAGACACTTTATTTTTTAAATTCCCCATTTATATGTTAGTTTTAATTTTTAGTAGTAATTAATTACAACTTTTATGCTTGTTACAATGTTACATTTATTACTATATAGAAATATAAATTAAATTAAATGTAATTAAACTGTTTCAAAACTGATAATCAGACATCCCATAAATGAAATCATTTAACTTCCCTAATGTAGTTATACCTTCATAATGTTCCTCAACCACAACAATCGGTATTTCCTGAGATCTTGATTTTACCAGACCTGGCAGCCAATCAATATCTTCATTAGTGGATCCCCAATGGTCAGGCTGTTTTTTGCCATATCTATCCAAACTTAAGTCTAAGGTATTTATCTGTGAGAAGTGATGGATGACTTGCCATAGAACAAACAGAGCGGCCAGAGCTATGCACCAACGCAGATAACGTTGCCATTTTCGTAACAGCATCATTTTTTATGTTCTGGTCATGGTTCAATTTATCTAGAAAAGTTAACAGACAAAGTGAAAATGTTTTATAAAAAAGTGTAGACTATACATTCTTATTGCACATTACACAGATGTTTAAATTTTTGTTAATTACTTTAAATTGAAGTTTTAAGCATGGAATGATTAGGTTTAGCCAAATCAGCAGTGGTATTTTTTACGACAGGTTTTGTCATGTTCTTTTATAAACTTACGTAAGGGTACCCTGCAATAAATTTAATTAATAAATTTAATGCTAGGATAGTTTTTTTTAAAACAGCAAAACATTAAACTGCTATAACATTTGACTGATTACTGCCAGGGAATAAACATTTGACTGATTACTGCCGAGGAATAAACATTTGAGTACTATTAACAATACTCAATTCTGATTAGAAAACTAAAGTAGGCAAAAATTGTTTAAGTGATTAGTTAAGGCTTCATTAAACCCAGGTTTGGGATTACTTGTTGCCGTTTTAATACATAGAAATTATGTGTACAGTAACATTATTTCAATCCATTCTTAGGCAAGTATTGAATAAAACATGAATTTCCCAAATACATTTTCCATATTACAATTAGTATTTTTATTATTCTTATAATTTTAGGCCATAGCCTGCATAGGTCAGAGTTGCTTATGCCCAATAATATAAGCCTTGTAATATATAGCGATAATAATATGATAATTTATATATAAGTCGCCAAACATAAGGGGTGTGAAAGGGGTGACTGTCCCAGATTTGAGGTTTAAACAATTTTTTTTCTTTTTTATAGCCTTGATAACTAAATTTAAAAATGTAGACCCATTTATCATTATAATTAACTGCATCCAATGCATATGTTAGGGGGCCTTACACTTTTAGTTACTTTTGCCCCAGATGAGGTGGCACTCATTCAAGGAACTCCACTGCCACTGTTAAATATTTTTTGTTGGCCTACATTTCTGTTCAAATTATTTGTGATGGTAAATATATTTACTTTAAATTAGAATAAATAAAGTGTTAAAGCTAAAGTAACAAGGTTACACATTCATAGTTTCATTATTTAATTTCCATGATTCATTTACATTAATGAATGATTACTGACATTAACATTACCATTATAATTATGCCATTATTAATATTATTATCATTCATTAATCATTATTATTTTCATTTGTATTTTTTTTGGCTACTAAACTAAATATGTTGAGAAAGTCTTGAACTAAAAGAATTGGTAAGCTCTAATCATCTTCAAAATAATTTCTCATTGGAGGAATTCCCACATTAAAAAAATAAATTGTTTGCAAACTTTGTTATCGTAAATTTCGAATTAGAATAATCATGCCAGCAGTGGTTCAGTACTTGTCCATTGAGGTTCATCCACCAGGGCTACCATTCACTTTTTTAAAATTCCCAAGATTTAGTCAATACATTTCCCAAGATTTCCCAAGGTTATGAGAATATACTGTTTAAGAGTAATAAACAACACTTTTACAATTTAATAATACATAATAGCTTGAATTAATGCCTCGTAAAAACCACTAACAGTAATTGACTGAAAGTTATTTAATCAGACAATTTTTACAAGGTTTATCACATCAAAGGAATTATAAAATGACATTTTTTTAAAAATATATTTAAAACACAAAATATTAAAACCGGATATATCTCTATTTACCTTACCGTCACTGAATACTCTGGTAAAAGCTCGAATGAAAGCTGAAAGTTGATGGGAAAAGTATCCAGCAGTCCAGCAATTCAATAATTAACTCAATCTTATAATTTTTCATCTTCTGTGTTAAATTCAAAAAAAAAAAAAAAACAAGTTGACTTCTGCAATATGAATGTGATGACTTTGCAAAAAAAGTTTTTGTTTTAACAGTTATTTCTGTTTATTAATGAATGAGTAGTCTACTTTTTTTTTGTATTTTTAATTGAAAACTAGCGGATATACCCTGCATTTCCCGGGGTAGCATTTGGAGCTTATCATGATGTGACCCCGATCCCATTGGAACCCTAATCCCATTCTGACACCGATCCCGCCGCAGACCCGTTTCTCGGTGTTGCCCCGATCCCGGTGGATCCATTCAAGGTTGGGATCCCAATCCCGGTGGGATCCCATTTTCTGGTGGGATCCTGATCCCGTTGGGATACAGATTATGATGGGATCCCGACCCCTTTGGGATCCCATATAAAAAATTACTCAGTGTTACTCATAATAACTGTAGAGTTATAGCAAGAGAAAAAAATCACGTGTCCCAATAAGACATACGATGACAATTATATTCATTTTGGGTTAAAACAATAAATGTTTACCATTAATCGAAGTACACGTAATCAAAGTGAGTCCTGTCCTGTGCAATGTCCAGGAGCAAAAAATAAGTTTTTTATGGGGAGGGGGGGGGGTAATTGGTTTGGGTTATTGTTCAATAAAAATATAATGAAATTGTGATAACAATACTTTTTTATACATTCTTATGATTATAATAATTCTTGCCAACTTACACTTTTTTCTAAACTCCTCCACATCCGCACCCTACACAAAATCTTCAATATACGATCAATTCACTGTCCAGGAAGAAAACTATGCTGCTGAACAAAAATTTCATCCCTTTCCATTAATAGAAACAGTAAAGGTGTCATCAGACAGACACATGAGTCATCAGACAGACAAGGGTGTTATCAGACAGACATGGGTGTTATCAGACAGACAAGGGTGTTATCAGACGGACAGGGGTGTCTTCAGACAGACAGTGGTGTCATATGTGTCGGTTTCCACCAGAGAAAGATGTCACCAGAACCAGCAGACTTGTAGGAGGTCCCAGGAGAGTCTGGAGTCGGGGAGCCGAGGGGTGACACACACTGAGTTTACCACACTGGGTGGCACAAAACCTTCTCATGGTGCAGTAGTTAATGTCTCTCCTATGGCGGCACGTAACGTAAAACTGTAACCCTCATGTGTAAACCAATATGGGTTGTTAATGGCAGAGACCATATAAAAACATTCGTTTTTTTTTTAAAAATTGTGTTTGCTGAGGAAGTGTTGCATGGCAGAGACCATATAAGAACATTCGTTTTTGTTTTTGTTTAAATTGTGTTTGCTGAGAAAGTGTTGCTTTTTTTTTTCTTTTCGAATTAATTAAACGACAGTTAAATTGGGGGGGGGGGTGCCCTGCTCTTTTCTTTTTGTTTTCTAAAACCCTCCCCTCTCAAATCGATACTATTGATTTCCCAGAAATAATTCATTTTATAGTAATACAGTAAGTCGAGAACTGCACCAGAACATAATCTTTCACGACATTCGCCGAAACTTCTAGCCATGTAGCCTACCTATAAAAGGTGTCTTTGCATTCCATAAGTTATAGCGTCTTCGTAAAGGGCGGCCGAAATGGTTAATTTGAATTTTCAAATATAAATCTTTAAAAGAATGGCCAGCAAAAATGTAATGATTTTTTTAATATAAATTTATTTAAATTTTAATTATTATTTTTTTTTTGGTCAATCGCCCTTAAATTTGACGTCAAATAAAGCTTGTTCGTGAGTAGTACCATCGTCTGAACAGCTGGGCTCCGTGGTGAGCGCCGTGTCATCGGGGTTTTAAAATCTATAACCTTTTTTTTTTTTTAAATTAAATAAATGAATAATTATTATTAAACTACATAAAAAGAAAGTAAAACGAAATGAAACAAAAATGTAAAATGCGCTCCTTGTATTGTCATAGCTGTAATTGAGACTGAGATAAAGAACAGGGGCAAAATTCTTCACCTCACCTGCTTTTTATACAAATTTGTGTAGTGGTAAAAGGTGTTTTTAACTAAATTAACCTAATTAAACAGCAATTTTTGTAATTATTTTACAAAGAATGTGAAGAATGCGTTGAACTAGTCTGATGTAGAAACATAACTATACATAGATACCTAATAAATATCAGGATACATACATATCTCATAAAAAAATACCTGGCCATCTAAACATTTTGATATCTTAATACACGGGAACCCTTAATTCGTAAAGACGAAATAGGTTGCATAACATTTTTCTATTTCATCTTTAAATTTCCTTTATCACAATTCCCATTTTCAAGAGCTGCAGGCAATGGCTTCCTATCGCTATCACTCTACTTCCAAGTTGGGTGGACACGCTAATGTAGATAATGGTTTCATACTGTTGATAACGGTTTCATAATGTGATTTTTAGTGAAATGAGTGGTGTATGGGGGCTAGAGAAAATGGAAATAGAAAACATAAAATTTGCTATTGCCATTCCGATATTTGAAGAGCTGTGGTGAAGACGACACACGAACGTTTGCAATGTCAAAACGACTAAAGCCGTGTGGAGCAAGGGTTAATACTGTTCCTGTATATTTTGATTTTGATGATTTACTGCAGGTCGGGTAGGTAGAGTGGGGACTTGCTAACTTTGCATTTTAGTTCATCTAAGAGACGAAAAGCTCAAGTTAGACAGGTCGCTGTTTTGCTACACAAACAACAACAATCCACACAAAATGGTTTAAGACGACGGGAGTAAACCCTGTCAGGACAGTGCAGAGATCGGGTCCTGTCGGCCGTATGGCATTGTAATCAGGGTGAATTCCGGTAACGCCTGCGACGCACCGGTTCAAATCTATTAGGTTCGCATTTTTTCAAAGGCTGCATAATGAAAAGGGTGGGGATCTGCTGACTGGGAAACATATTATTTTTCATAAAATACAGCCATCAAGACTCCGGGCTTTTGTTATAGACACCCAACGAAATTAAACCATCGTCTCTTGAAAACAAGAATGCCCGTGCTTAATTAAACTGCTATAAAACCCGGAGGTTAAAACCTTATGTTTTGAATTTTAATTTTTGCCTCCTGTTACTTATCCTTATATGGTTTTTCTAAATTTAATCTGCTTTAATTCCTTAAGATTTAGCTCGTTAGATGAACGATACATAACAAGGAACTAAGCGTACAAAGAAAAACGCTACCAAAGCTAGTGATATTAAGGGGAGGTGTGGGTGAAAAATCTAAAATTTTGATTTGGCTTCATTAAGGATTTTTTTTAACTACACCTTATTTGGTATTGTAATGGAGGTACAAAACAGGTTTTAAAAAAAAAAAAATTCCATTGGTTGCCTTTGTAGCCCATAAAAACCTCCGCCATTTTTATTTTTTTAGTGTGTTTTAAAACACTAAGGCTTTTACAAATATTAAGTTATTGCTATCAGATTTTAAACATAGATTATTTAACCTATAATAAAACTTTGTATAACAGGAATTTTTGATGTCATAACTGGTTATAAAATTACAGGGTCAGAAATTGTGACCCCATTTTTTATGCAAAAAATAGGGGTGTGGGTGAATTCTTTTTTACATATTTTCTTTTCTAAGATAGATATCTTAATTCTAGGTTATTCAAATGTTTATTATTGGTCACTGAACATACTGTGAAAATTTGGTGAGGTTTGGATAATAAATAAAAAAGTTATAGGGATATTAGTGACCAAAAATAGTGAAAACAAGAAAACTGAAATAACGAAGAAAAACGACAAAAACAATGAAAATATCAATGAAAAATAAGAATCTTAAATTAACTGTTTTTTGTGTGAGCCAGAAAACTCATGAGCAATAACTCCATTGTAAAATCTAATTAGTTACTGTATCAAATTTTGACACTCGTCATGTTGAAAATCACATCGCAGAGAGATACAATGTTAAAATAAGGGAATTATTGATATGTTTCTTTCAACTACTGTCTTATTCTTTTTGTCCTTGAATAACACATAATGAGTTTTGTGATGTAATCTGTGTTAGTCTTCTCTTGCATCCTCTGCCTGAGGTTACTTTTATTTCGATGCATCGAACATATGTTGCGCCGAGGAATCTGTAACATTGGAATACACTTAGGGCACTCCTTCTTTTTCATGTGCATATTGTCCTTTGGGCTAAATGGACCTAGGCACAACAGATCAGTGTAGTTTATCAACAGGAAATATAATGCATGTTGTGGTTTGTTGTGTTCCGCAACCTCATTGCGCGTCTCCTCAATGATTCCTGAAAACAATAAACTTGTATTTAGATATTTTTATTAAATGCTTCTCAATAAAAATATAAGGCTATAATGAAATTAATGACTGATAGGTCATACTAGTTGACACATATTTCAAGCAAAATTTGTTAGGGCTCTTACTATTACTTTACTTTAAAATAAAATAACACTAATGACAATGTTATTTGCGATGCAATAAAAAAAAAGGAGAAATTTATTACATTTAATTTCATATTACCATTTTAATAGCTATAAATATAGGACAGTGTAAGACAAATGTCACAACAACTAAATTCATAAATTATTTATAGGTTTTATTTTTACTACAGTAAAAAGTAACAGTGTTTATTAGTAT